ATGCAAAGATAGGAGACAGATTACATACGTAGTTCAAATCGACTGTTCCTTGTGTTTGCACTGACCTTGTGTAGTCATCTTGTTAGGGTGTGCCGGGGACAAGAGAAGGGTGGGGAGGGGAGTGGTGGGCGGAGGGCCATTTACAGGTGGGTTTGTTTTTATCGTTCTTGGGGGAGAGGGGAGAGATATGATGGGAAGGGGAGGTAGGAGACAGATTTTGTACTTGATTGCAATCGTCTATTCCACGCCGTTGAGTGATGACTTTGTGTGGCAGGGGCAAGATAAGATCGGAGGAGGGGTATTTTCTTGTGGGTCCATTTTTATTGGTTGAAGCGGCGTGAGGGGGGGAGGGGGGGCAATGAAATAAACAGTGCAGTAGACTACTTTTGTATTCAGTTCCAATCACGTTTTCCATGCTGTGATCATTTTAATCAATGTTGTGAGTGTTCCATGGAGAATGGGAGCATGGTTGGGAGGAGAAACGGGGGAGGGGGAGGGGGTAATTTACAGGTGAGTTGATTTTTTTACCCAGGGAGGGAGCGTATAGGAGAAATATTTTGGTATTTTAGCCCACAGCTAAATTTGTGTTCCATTGTGACTTTCAAAAATCGTTGAAATAATATGAGAAAACAAGAAAAGGTTACAGATATCCGATATCTTGGATGAGTTGGATACAGCGTTCTAGTTTACAGACGAAGAATCGAACCTACGTTTTTCGCTTCCAATGGCGAGAGGCTTAAAAAAACATTACGTGACCGACGCCGGTGAAGATGATGAAAGATTTTGTGAGAAAAGAAAGACATTTTAGGGGCGGATAAAGAAAGAGTGGGGAGGAGAAGGCAGAGGAAACCGAAACAGACAAGAGACGGATGAAATAATATTAAGGAGCGCCGCCAGGAAAGTGCAAATTCGGTCAAGACTTTTTTCCCCAATGCCGTGGTAAAGCCAGAGATAAAACGACTCGACGTCCTCGTCGATATCGATTTGTCAATAGTAGCTCTATATAGTACAATAGAAGCGAAGCTAGTATTTCTGGCCGATGATAGCGCCACTTTCGCGAGTATCGGTCCACTTGGAGGGCCATTAAAGCCGGGATTCTTTACGACCAATCAATACAGTGTTGACCCCCTTTCTCATTTCGTCAGAACATTTGAGTGTTCGAATGTTTATGTGAGGGAAAGTATTAGAAACGTGAGTGGACAAAAAATGAAATGAAAGGAGAAAGAACAAAAGATGTACTGGGTATTACTAGATTACCACAATCGTCGTACTGGATTAGATGAATGTACCGGTATAAGAAACCTTAAATAGAGCCAGCGAATCTTTAAACCACTTTCACGTTCGAATCGTTAATTGTGCTGCAATCTTTTTTTCTGAAGCAAAATACATACGCGTTTGTGGTGTAGCGATTAGGCATTTCGTTGTCGCACGCAGTAGACCCGAGTTCGACTCCCGGGTGAGGAGAATTTTTGTATCTCGGTCTTTCTATTGGGATTTTATATCTCTCCCAGCCCTGCTTGCTCCTCACAGGCAGAGTCGTGAGCAGCATGCCTCCTAAATGATCTAAATTGTGTGATGATGGCTTAACAATACATACACCTACAACCACACCACAAACAGAATGAAAGGGGGAACTCATTTCATTTACTCAGACTGCAGAAAGACAACCGTGGCTTGAATCCTCAGTATGTCCTTGAACTTGGACAGATATCTACCTCAGAATTATAAAGTTGTATCTGATATTTTTTGGCCGTTTTGAGTTGCTAAGACCACGAGGTCAGAAACCATATGTTCTATCTGCTCTATAAAAATTGTAAGATTATTCGATGTCGTTATACAAGATATCCAAAGAATTGAATTCGAAAAAGCTTAACATGTTGTGAAACTCAAATTTTTTAATGTCAAATTGCTTGAAACTGAGTAGTGAGCAGATAGGACTTTTTGATTCTAATGTAGCAATTTTTTTCTCATCTACACCTTTATAACTCGAGCGTTTGTGGAATTTGATAAGATAATATAAGAAAGGGAGAAGTGGTGAGAAAGAGACACCGAATCCCTGACAGGCACGGTCGAAGCCCCCTCTTTTCCCCTTTCCTTATTTATCTAAATTGTGTCGATAATAGCGTAAAAACACTTACATTAATTTTTTTAAAGAACTCGAATTTTTTTAAAAAGAAAGGAAGCTAGGTAGGGAGTGAAAAGGGAGAAGGGAGAGATAGACAGAGAGGGAGAAAAGACAAAGAGAGAGAGAGAGAGAGAGAGGAGGGGAGAGAGAGAGAGGGAGAGAGAGAGAGAGAGAGAGAGAGAGAGAGAGAGAGAGAGAGAGAGAC